AAATTACAGTTATGAAATAGCAATGAAAATAATTTTATGGTTGGAGGTCACCACAACATGGTGGCCACGCCCACTTGGTGGCCACACCCACTTGGCAGCCACACCCACTTGGCCACGCCCCTGGCACCTGGGGTCACCACAACATGGGGAACTGTATTATGGGGTCACGGCATTAAAAAGGTTGAGAACCACTGCCTTAGCTGCTATAAAATAGCATGGTTATTTTTCTGGAGTTTATGTGAATAAATGTCTTGGATTTTTTTTTCTCAGATTGAGAATGCTCCATCATTGCTATGTGAGGTCAATACTAAGGCCAGGCTTACCTGCTTAGCAGTATGGCTCAAAAGAGATTTTGAAGCAGAGCAGATCCCCGTTGAAGCCACAACGTCTTCATCTCAGGGTATTACTGTAGAACTTTCTTAAAATTCTGTCAGGTAAACTATAATTAAAATTATATAATTGTTTGTTTTATTTTGCAGTACATGAAGCTGAGCAGCCATCACTTAAGAAAAAGAAAATTTGTTGGACCGATAGTAATAAACCCTCAGAGGGAGATGTCCAAAAACCCGTTCTAAAAAGAAAATCAGGAAACATGCAACAAAAGAAGTTACAGAGATTAAAATAAATATGTAGTCGTAATCATATCTCATACTAAATATATAACAAGGAACCAATGTGTTTTTCACTTTAAGACATTTTTCATTTTTAGTACATTCTTAAGAATATTTTATATATTAATGTTTCTAGGAAATAGCTATTATATTTCTGCGATAACAATACCCAGATCTTTTGACTTCTGTTTTTAAGTGTGAAAATATAAGTCTCAAATATTCTACAATGTATGTGAAATTTCCTGTTCTAGTATTATTTAAGTTAATTTCCAAGTTGCTAATATATTTTGATATTTACACATATTTTCAGGTTTTCTTAGGTTTTTTCATGGAGGCATTATTCATATAAGGATTTTAATTACCAGAGTAAAAATGAATACAAACTAGACTTAAAGAAAAAAGAGTAAGAAAGAATAAAAAATGCAAGAAAAATAAGAGAAAAAAGAGCATAATAAAAAGAATATAAAGAAATGACTTCCAGTTTTCATCTTATTTTAACCTTGATTAAATAAATCAATTTTATATTCCTTTTATTTCTAACAGCTTTAATCTAATTTATTCAAATATTGCCATAGTATTTGATATCTTTACAACTTTTCTTTATCCCTTTGCACAGACTTTTTCAAGTGCTTAACAAGTGTGTTATGTAGATCTACTAAGCAAACATTTTCCAGGTCATTCTCCTGGTTTGTCATTTGTATTTCCCTTTTAATTTTTAAAAATTTCACCAGTTTATCCAATATAGTATTCTTTTCCAAATCATTCTCTTCATCTTTTATTTGTAGTTCCACCTTTGGTACTTTCTGTGTTGTCAGACAAAATTTGCTCTATCTGTCATTCTCTTATTGACATATTTTGACATACATTTATTCATAGAATCATATTATTGCTGACACTGATTATATTGCAGCTACTAATTTCTGACTATTCTTCAAAGATTCTTAATCTTTCCAATATTATGACATTCTGTGTCACTTTATGTCTCAGTTAACTGACAATAAAAACTGACGTGTGTTGTTTTCCTTCCAACTAGGATCTAATGTACAGTGTGCAAAATAGTAGTCACTTGTCTTTGTTAGGAACCAAACTCCAGTTTCCATGAGAAGCTATTTATTTTTTTATAGTTAATTCCAAAATAAAAATCAATATTACCAAATTTACCCTTTATCCATTTGTAATTTTCTTAGATCAAAATCTTATTTAGATTTTTGCTGTTTATTTTGAATTCTTTTTAAGTTCTGAAGGTTGTAATTTTAATTTTCTTCAGGGTTGAACTCAGCCACTGATTTTTCAAACTTGTCATTCCAAAAGACTAATGGCTTTAAGATGGTTAACAGGCAATTTCCAAAAATGGTTAGAAAATAAGGCTTGCATACATGCAGTCCTCGACTTAACAACCATTCGTTTAGTAACCAAAGTTAACAACAGCACTGAAGTGACTCCTGACCACTTTTTACATGACTGTTGCAGCATCCTCATGGTCATCTGATAAAAATTCAGACAGTTGACAACTGGCATGTATTTATGATGGTTGCAGTGTCCCTAGGTCATGTGATCAACAAAGTCAGGAAACCAGATTCACTTAATAACTGTTACTAACTTAACAACTGCAATGATTCACTTAACAACCGTGACAAGAAAGGTTGTAAAATGGGGCAAAACTCACAACTGTTCTGTTTAGCAATGGGAAGTTTGGGCTCCATTGTGGTCGTAAGTTGAGGACTACCTGTACTTAGTGTCCTTTAAAAGGCTCTACCATGGTAGCAAACAAGTTGGTTCATCCCTTGTCCC